GGACGAGCGTGCGCTGGATGACGCGGCCCTTGCTCCGCCTGATCGACGGGCCCAAGTTGCCAACTCGGTCGTTCAAGACACCCAGCAAACACTCGAGATGGTCGTCGATCGTGCGGGTCAACTGCAAATGCTGAGAAGCAACGCCCTTACCGTCCTCCCCGCTCTTCTGAGCCGTCAAATGGATGTTCGCGTCAGGCGTCCCCGTCTCGAGCAAGCCTGTGCTCCGGATCTGCCTGACGACCCAAGCCTCAACCCTGCCCCTACCCTGCCCATGCGGGCGTGGCGCGAGTACCGCGTGCCCCGCGTCGTGCGACTGATGAAATGCATGTCTTGCAGACCGTGCTCAACCGCAAAGAGCACAACGAACGCCCAAAAACCACCCTCGAGAGCCGTGTACATCGCGCTGCCTTCGACCCGTTCATCGTCGTCCCGCTTGGGCGCGACGTCGCCCACATCGATGGCCACAACAGGGCGGGTGGGCTGTGCAGCACCACCTGGTGCCGAGGCGGGCTCTGCATCACCGCTGAACGCCTCGCTCCGCCAACCTCGGGACATGAGCGCGGGCGGCTGTGCGGCAGGGGCCTCCGGACTTGAGCCGAAATGGTTGCGGAAGGCACTGCTTGCGGGGGCTCCTGTCCGGCCATCGAGGCCAGCTCGGCATCTGTCGCGCATTGCTTTTGCTGTGCGTTGGCTTTGCTTTATTTTTGCGTTGACTTTGCTTTACTTTGCGTTGCTTGTGCTTTGATTTTCTGTCGCTGCTGTTGCTTTGCCTTTGCGTTGCTGCTGTGCTATGCTATGCTCTGCTGTGCTGCGCGTGCGCATGCTATGCTTTGCTGAAGCCCAGCGAAGCTAAGATGAAGGTAAGCTATACTAAAATAAAACTGAGGTCAGATGAATATAAGCTAGGGTAGGATTACATAAGCTAAGCTAAGGTGAGATAAGCAACGCGAAGCTAAGGGAACGTCGCTGGGGGAACGGCGGGGCGGATGCCGGGGGAACCGCCCGGGGCGAGCCCCACTCCCCGGCCTTTTTAAGCTTAGCTATGCTATGCTAAGCTGCGCTATGCTATGCTATGATATGCTATGATATGCTATGCTACGTTATGCTGTGCTATGCTGTGCTATGCTGCGCTATGTTATGACTGGCTGTGCTATGCGATGCTATGGTATGCTAATGCTGCGCTGCGCTATGCTAAGTTAAACTAGGCTAAGCTAAGCTAGCCCTCTAAGCAGAGCCTGTGTAGGGAATTACACCCATGCTATGATATGCGGGTGCGTGCGTGCGTGCGCGTGCGTGTGCGTGCGCACGTGCGCGTGCGCGCGTGTGCATGCGTGCGCGCGCGCGTGTGCGAGCGCGCGCGCGCGTGCGCGCGCGTGCGCGCGTGTGCACGCGCGTGCCCGTGGCCATTTTGGCTCAAGCCTGGCTCAAGGCCGCGAGGGGTAAGCCCCATCTCGAGGAGGCGTCCGACGCACCGCCTGGGCCGCGCGCCGGCCCCCCCGCGCGCGATGCCGCGCTATGCTGTGCTATGCTATGCTATGCTGTGCTCTGAGCAGCGAAGCTAAGATGAAGGTAGGCTAAGCTAAGATAAAACGGAGGTCAGATGAAGCTAAGCTAAGGTAGTATGAAAAAAAAAAGCTAATATGAGATAAGCAACGCGAAGCCCAGGGAACGTCACTGGGGGAACCGCGGCGCGGATACTGGGGGAGGCGCCCGGGGCGGGCCCCACTGCTCGGCCCGTTAAGCCTACCGAGTAAGAACCTTTCTAGGCAGAGCCTGGGTAGGGAATTAAACACTTGCTCAACTTGAAGCTGTCCTCTCCACTGCTCGCGCAAACATTCCACCCTCCCACCCGCAACTTGGTTTGCAAAACCTCTTAAGACCGACTACGACGACACCGACGACAACGACGACGACGACATGACGTCTCCGACGACTTCGACGACGACAACGACGCCGACGCCGACGAAGACGACGACGCCAACGAAGGCGACGGCGAGGGAGGAGGAAAAACGACGACGGCGACAACGACGACAACGACGACAACGACGATGGAGGAGGGAGGACGGCGACGACGCGAACGACGACGAAGGAGGAAGGACGGCGACGCCGACCACGACGACGGAGGAGGGATGACGACGACAACGACGACGACGACGACGGTGACGAAATAGAACCGACGACGAAACGCCGACAACGGACGACGACGACGACGTGGGAGGAGGAGGACGGACGACCACGGCGACAACGACGACGGAAACGACCACGACGCCAAAGCGGACGACGACGACGAACACGAGAAAAGACAGAGGACGACGTAGGCGACGACGACGACGACGCGGGAGGAGGGAGGACGGCGACGACGACGACGACGACGACGACGACGACGACGACGACGACGCAAGAGCGCGCGCGCACGGTTTTGTTGAAAATTCGTTTTGCGAAACCTTGGGTTTTTGTAGGTTTTTTGGACGCACGATTTTGAAATCCTTCCGAAACCTATGGGCTTTGAAAATTTTCGGCATACGCCCGCGGCGACGCGCGCGTCTGCACTTCGTCCCGTTTTTTTGCAAACGATTCTCGCGACGGCACACGCGCAAGGGCGTTCGACAGATTTCGACATGCGCGCGTGCGAAGCCCGTTTGGTAACATCTTGTGAGAATATTGAAGAAAAAACAATGGTTGTCTTAAGATTTCGCAAGAGTTCGCGCGGAAACTGTTTTAGCAAATCAGTGTTGCGAAACCCTTTTTTGTTTGCGAAATCTTTCCGGCACCGAAAGTTTTTGAAGGATTTTGGCATGCGCGCGCGACGACGCGCGCGTGCGCACTTCGTTTTTTTTTTGTTTTTTTTTTTTTTGTTTTTTTTTTTTTTTTTCCGAGGGAATCGCGAATAAATGTTATGTTAGAACAAAAATGTCACCGCATAGTGTTTTTGCAAAGGGAACCTCAGGGGGGGAACCCGGCCTGGCTGGGATGATACGATTTCCTATTTAGGATGGACGAATGGTCATAATCATATATGATTTACATACTCGAGGGGAAACAGAAAAGTCCGGGGGGGGAGGTAGAGTCTATTTCCCCTTTCAGGAAAGAGAAGAAACTGCGAGGAAGCCTCAGGCGGGAGCCGTTGTTGCTGTTATCTGGGGGCCAGCGACGCAGTTTGACCCTAGTGACCGTGCCTGACCGATAAACAGGATGCGAACCCTGGGGGCAACACCTCAATTGAAAAAAATTGTCACCGGAAGGGGGGTCAACAATAATTGCTCAATCGAAGAAAGCTCAACAACAACACTAACAACAACAACGCCAACAACAATCCGACAACAACAATCATTTTAAGACTGTTCGCCCTTATCTGCTCGAGTGTCCAATAACGCGTATTTCCCAAACCCTCGATACCCGCCCTTTTAGTCTTCGATCGAACCCCTTTTGGGGGGTATACATTTCCCTGAGGGCCGGGACCCGGGAAGCGGCGGGGCGGCCGCGGACCGTCGGCCTGGCCAGCGGCAGCGCTGATCGGCGGGGCGGCCGCGGACCATCGACCCGACCCCAAGAGGGACGGACAGGGGACCGACCACGACGACGACGACGACGTCGACGACGACGGCAACGACGGCGACGGCGACGGCGACGACGAGCGAAAGCGAGAGCGAGAGAGAACGACAGCAGAGCCACGAAGGACACGAAGTAGGCCACGTAGGGCGACAGCGGGGATACGAAGCGAATGCGTATGGGGCCACGAAGAGCGCGAACGAACGTAGGCCACGAAGGGCAGATAATGCGGGGCCACAGAAGGCAACGATGGGGCCACTGAGGGTAGCACCTGGGCCACGTAGGACAATGAGGGGGCCACAAACGGCGACAGCGGGGCCACGGAAGGCATCACATGGGGCCACAACGGGCGCGAACGAGCGGGGGCCACGACGGGCATACGTATGTTGGGCCGCGGAGGGTACGGACGGGGCCACTGAGGGCAGCAACGGGGACACGAAGGGCAGCGAGGGGGCCACGAAGGGCGACAGCGGGGCCACGAAGGGCATGCATGTGGGGCCACCACGGGCGCGAACGACAGCAGGGCAACGAAGGGCATACATATATGGGACCACGAAACAAAACGAGGGGGCCACGAAGGGCTGCAACGGGGCCACGAAGGGCAACGAGGAGGCCACGAGGGGCTGCAACGGGGCCACGAAACAAATCGAGGGGGCCACGAAGGGCTGCAACGGGGCCACGAAACAAAGCGAGGGGGCCACGAAGGGCTGCAACGGGGCCACGAAGGGCAGCGAGATCCCGATTCCTAGGTAATCTGTGAAGGAGTCCTAAGCGTGAGCGCGACTCCTGGGTGTCTGGGTGTCGGGAGCGCGGCGCTGGAGTAAATTGCAAGAAATTCCAACGCAAGGGCGCTATTCTGTAGTAAATTGCAAGCAAGTCTCCAGCGAGAGCGCGACTCCAGAGCGCAGGAGGAACGATTCCTGAAAAAATCGCAAGAGCGCGATTCTTGAATAACATGCGAGGAAGTCTCGGGCGGGAGCGGGGGTCCTGGCTAAATTGTGAGGGGTCTCAGGCGGGAGCCGTTGTTGTTGTAACCCGGGGGCCAGGGGGCCAGTTTGAGCAGGAAGACTTTCCTTGACAAAAAAACAAAAGGCGAGCCCCAGGGGGGGCACTTCAATTGAAAAAATCCATGTGCACCGGTTTGGGGAGATCAACACTAATTACTCTTCAAGAATGAGAGTTCAACAACAAGGTAAAGGCCGACAAAAGAGCCCCGGCACCACATGACGGCGGCTGCCGGCGCCCCCCCCTGTGAAGGCCGGGCTCGAAGCCCTGGTGCCCCAGGTCGACCCCCCCCCCCCGCACGCAGCAACAGCACCCAGCAACCCCACGAACGAAACGGCGAGGTGGAGGAGGAGGAGGAAAACGCTGGGGGAGGAGGAGGGGGAAGGCGGAGGAGGAGGAGGCGGAGGGGGAGGAGGAAGAAGAGGAGGAGGCGCACCCCACTGAGCCTGTCCTCGCCTGGCGTTGCCTCCGAGCCTTGCGTAATGGTGGAAGTCTGCAGCTCCGCTGCAGCGGCACTTGCGCTCCGATCCGCCGCTGGAGCTGTGCGAAGCGATCTGCGGCTCGCCCTGCACCCCGATGTGCCCTTCGGTGCGCACTCCGATTCACGCGTGAGCCCCACTCCTGACCCGAGACATCCCCTTTCCCCAGCTCGGGGAAGCATCGTGGACCTCCTCGCTCGAAGTGCCCCCCACCCGCAATGGTGGTGTCGCCGATCCTTCCTCCGAGCGAAGGAAGACCCCGGCCTGTGCTCCTCCGAAAGAAGACGTCGACCTCAGCTATCATGCCCAAGCGTGTGACATAGTCGTGCCGATCCCCACCCTCGTCCTTATTCCAACCCTCATCCTCCTCCCCCACATCATCCAACTCTTCGTCATCATGATGGTGGTAAGGATGATCCAGCTCATCATCAGCATCAACAACGACAACAGCATCATGCAAATCATAATTGACCAAACGCATGTAGCAGTGCTGCTATGTCAAACTCGCGTACCATCATCATCACCATCACCATCACCACCACCATCACCAGCATCATCCGCATCATCACCAGCATCATCAACATCACCCGCATAGTCAACATTATCGCCATCATCACCATCATCAGCACCGCCGTCACTACCGTCATCAACATCATCAGCATCGTCGTCATCAGCATCGTCGTCCCCATCATCGGCACCGCTTTCATCATGATCATCAACACCATCACAATTCGAATCATCATGATTATCCTCGTCAGCATCATTACCACCACCTCCACTATGACCATCACCCTCAACATCACCGCAACAATCACCATCACCATCACCATAACCATCATCGCCATCACCAAAAACATGATCAGCAACACCATCATCAACATCATCATCACCATCATGACCGCCATCGTCACCATCATCACCATCACCACCGCCATCATCAGCATCATCACCATCATCGCCACCATCGCCGCCACAACCACCACCATCAGCATCATCATCATGATTACCATCATGCCTATCCTCAATCGAATCATAATATTTATTTTCGTTCCCATCACCATCATCAACACCGCCACGCTGATCGTGCCAATCGTCACTGCCCTCATCACCACCCAAATCGCCATCAACACCGTAATCGTCGTTTTCGGCCTGGTGTTCCCAGAGAGGCCTACCTGAGCATCCAGCACGCTGCGCGTCTCGGGGAGCATCTTGATGCCGTCACGGGGGTTGGCGGGTGGGCTCCTGGAATGTGTTTGAAGGTTCTCTCGGGGACCTCCTCTGCCGCTTCATAAGCCCATTGGGTCGTCTGGAGGCCATCTGAAGCCTGAGAGACCGGCCCATCGAGAGCGAAACTTCGAGTTCGTGAGAACCTGCAGTTTCCCATTGGTTGTTGAATGATTGAGACGTTTGTTTTGTCGTTTCAACCCCTGGGGAAATTCTGCTGCCAGTGAGGCGCCCTGGCAGCACCGGCGATGAATCGTCGCAGAAACGAGGCATAGGTCCAGCAGCGCCGAGACTGAACAATCGGCAGTGGAGGACGCCTCCGACAACGCCTGTCGCATCCGGAAGGTTAGACAAAAAAGTTACCTCGTCTCGGCGAGCGCCGCTCTGGGGAGGGGGCTTCGCGAGTTGCTTTCGCGGAGCCCGCTATGGCCCCCCCCCATCGCGGTTCGACCCTCGGCTCAGACACCCCAACGCAGCATCCGTCAGCCATGCGCGACGAACGCAGCTGCTGGACAAGTAAAAAGAGAACAAGGGGGTGGGGGCCGAGAAGCGGTCGGTCGAGGTGAACTGGCTAGACCAAGTCCACCCCCGTGCCCGGATCCCCACGCGGGGGACGACCCCCCGTGCAGCTGCTGTCGCCGCAGACGGAGCGTCCCCCTCCAACGCTCCACGGCCGTGCAACCACACGCAGCAGTGAAGAGGACGGCCACAGGGACACCACATCGAGCCCGCCGCGAGCGTCAGGCTACCGCGGCCAATGTGGGGGACGGGGCGACGGTCGAGGTGAACCGGCCAAACCAAGTCCACCCCCATGCCCAACCCACCCCGCAGGAAGGGCGGCCCCCCTGTGCAACTGGACGGCCACAGGGACACCACATCGAGCCCGCCGCGAGCGTCTGGCTACCGCAGCCAGTGTGGGGGAGAGGGGGGCGGGGCAGCGGTCGAGGTGGACTGGCTGAACCAAGTCCGCTCCCGTGGCCAAGCCCCCCCGCAGGAAAGGCGGCCCCCCTGTGCAACTGTCGCCGCAGGGGGAGAAGTACCTCCAGCCCCCCACGGCCGTGCAACAGGGGGACGCCGACAGAACGCAGCAGTGAAAAGAACGGCCACTGGGGCCCCAGATCGAACCCGCTGTGAGCGTCAGGCTACAGCACTATTGTGTAAAAAGCCCTGGTAGAGCTGAAAAGAGTGAACACGACCAGGGTGGTCAGTCCGAGTCCATTCCTCCTCCTAGGGAAGATACGTCCTCGTCTTCGGGCCAGGCCTCCCCTACACTCCTGGAACTGAGTTCGTCTCTGGGGGCCTGGCCGGCTGGGATGCTGTGCTGCGGCAGAAGCAACCTGGGAGCCCGTCTCTCCGACTGTGCACCCTGGGCCTCCCTCCTCAGCCTCACTCCGAGGGACTGTTGGACTCTTGTAAGCCTCTAGGGAGCATCTTGGAGGCATCTTGGGGGCTTCTTGGGGCTGCCATGGGGCCTCGAGGGGGCTTCGCAGGCTGTTTGTTTGGGTACTTTGGGCCCGTCTGACGCCTGCGGGAGACGTCAGGCTGGGCTCTTCGACATCGCTTGCGTCATTTGGGGAGGCTCTTGACTGCTCTTGGAATCGTCTTGGAACCTTCTTGGTTGACTTTAGGCTCCTCTTTGGACTCTCTCGGGTAAATTTGGGGCTCTCCAGCAACCGCAAAGGCGGTAAACGGATTGAGAAGAAACCGGCAACATCATCATTGCATGATGAGAAACGTCACCATCATCTTTACCGTGACCATAATCAGTAACATCCGCATCCTCAGCATCGTCACCAGCACCGTCATCACCAGTGACGTCGAACTAGACATCACCCCCACCATCACCATGAACACCATGGAACGCCCCCAATTATCCTTCTTCCCCTCCTCCTCCTCCTCCTTTATTCTCCTCCTCCTCCTCCTTCTCCTCGTCTTCCTTCCTTTCTTCCTTTTCCTCCTATTATTTTCCTTTCCTCCTCCTCTTCCAACTCTTCCTCCTCTTCTCTCCTCCTCCTCCTCCTCCTTCTCCTCGTCCTTCTCCTCCTCCTCCTCCGCCTCCGCTTCCTTTGCCTCCTCCTGCTCCTCCTCCTCCTCCACCTCATCCTCCTCCTCCCCCTCCCCCTCTATCTCAGCCAGAGAAGCCCCAAAAGGCTCCCAAAGAAGCCCCAAGGAATCTCCGGAGATGCCCCAAAAAGCCTCCAGAGAAGCCCCAGGAGGAACCCAGACAAGTTTCGATCGGCCAAAAGATTAGCCCCAAGAGGCCTCCAGAACTTCCAAGAGGCCAGAATTCCCAAGAGGCTTCCAGAACTCTCCAGGAACTCCTAAGGGGCCTCCAGAATCACCGGGGGCCTTCGGCCCTCCTGGGGGGGGTGCTGGGTTGCTGGTTGCTTGGGGGGGGGGGGGGGGGGGGGCGGAGCTCTGCGCCCGACCTCTCCAACAACAACAGCAACAACAGCAGCAGCAGCAACAACAACAACAATCATTTTACCCTCATGCGCCATGCTTCCACATGACACATGCATCCATCTGGATAACACACCCCATCATGGGGGATTTTTCTGGCATGCGGGATCCGATATTCCCTCACCCAGATATCCCGCCCAAGAAGGTTTGGCCACCACCTCTTCCGAGGAACTTCAACATCCATAGCTCGGACGGCACATCGCCTTCGCAATCGCCTTGCGCATGCCCCGCATCTCAGAGGGAGAGGAAGAGGAAGAGGAGGGGGAGATGAGAGAGATAGGGAGGGGGAGGAGGAGAAGGGAGGGGGAGGAGGGGGAGGAAGGATGAGTAGTTGTAGTAGCAGCAGTTGATGATATTGTTGTTGCGGCTGTAGCACTAGTAGAAGCGGTAACGGTAGTAGTAGTCCAAGTAAGTAGAACTGGCTTGTGGCAGCCAAGCGTTCGTAGCGACGTTGCTTTTTGATCCTCCTTTAATGTCTTCTCTCCCTATCCTTGAGACGCAGAAGTCTCAAAAAGTTGGATGGTTCAGCACATCCAGGAAACTTATCGCTGGACCGGCCCAGATATGGTTCCAGAAGCGGCTCGGGAAGCTGCGCAAGCGCCAGAAGCAGAGAAGCACCACGTACGGGCGCCGGCTCGGGCGTCCGGCCCAAAGCCGCTCCAGAATCGGCCCAGGACGGCTTCCCGGGCGCCGCAAGCAGAAATTCAGCATTTTCGACAGAAAAATGTGTATTGGAATGGCCTCTTTTCGGCGCGATCGGAACTGCCCGGGCGTCCGGCCCGGGAGCCGGGCCGGGTGCCGGCCGGGCCGGCCGGCCCGGGTGCCGGCCCGAGCTCCGGAATCGGCCCGGACCCAGAGCCCTCAATGCGTCATTCTTGTGCCGCGCGCGCCATATTATCCACGCGCGCGTCATCATAGATGGCGCGCGCGTGACGCACGCGCCAAATCGAACCCGCATGCGCCATAATGCCTTTGAGAGGGCGCGATTCCAAACATAATGACGCCTTGAGGCGTCGTTTTTCTTTAGGCGTCATTTTTCTGTAGGCGCCGTTTTTCTTGGGGCGTTGTTTTTTTTGTTTGGTTTCAGTGTCGTTTTGCGTGATTTCGTTATTTTCGTTGTTGTTTGTTCCTTAGAGTGATTGTTGTGCGTTGTTTGTCTGGTATATGCGTTGTTGTTTGTTTTCGATGCTGCGTTGCCTATCTGCAGTGTTTATGTTTTTGTCCTGGGATCGCGGAGAGCTGCCGAAGGCGTTCTAGTGTCTAGTAGGGCGGCTCGCCGCGCAGAGGGCCCGAGAGGTCCAAAGGGATTCTGCTTAAGAGATCGCGCAATTCAGAGCGCCTTGCCCCGAATCAGAAGAGGTTTGGGAGCAGCTGTCTAAATCGCCTTGCTCAGAAGTTTCGGCGTCGCCGTCGACGCTTCGGCTGGCTCCGCCACGAAATCCTGGTCAGAACGCGCTGCTTCGACGGTCGTCGCTGGTCGCTCTTGGGCTTCTTGGCCCTTCGCGGCCACGGCTGGATTCGCCACGAGATCCTGGTCAGAATGCCCCCCATGGAACCCAGGCAATTTAGAACCGTTTTCCGCCTGCGCCGCGGAGGTTGTCTTCCTTCTCCTTCTCCTTCTCCTTCTCCTTCTTCTCCTTGGCCCTCTCCTCCTCGAGCTCCTTCCTCAATTCTCGAGCGCCGTTTCGCCTTCTCGAGCGCCGCCTGTTTCTGCTCTCACGTTTCGTTGCTGCTCGTGCTGCTGCTCTCCGTCGTGCTGCCCGCGCTGCTGCTCTCCGTCGGCTGCTTGGCCTGCTGCTCAAACGGCCTTGAATCGGCGGGGCGCTTGACCAGGCTGGGCGTGCCGAGGCGAGAGGGGTGGGGAAGGCGGGGGGGGGCGAGCGGGGGGAAGAGGAGGAGGAGGGCGAAAGAGGTAGATTCTCCCTGTATCTCTCACACGCATGTGCATGTACATCTGTATTTATATCTATATCTATATACATATATACATATGTGTATATGTGTATATATGCACATATATATATATATATATATATATATCTGTGTACGCACACCTTATTTGTATGTTTATGTATGCATGTTTGTATGCATGTACCAATGCATGTGCATACATGTTCACAGGTGGAAAGGTAGTTACACATTATACAATCTAGATATGCAGACATACATAAGTATACAATCCGCATATTGAGTCGACACGTGTATATGCGCATACACGTACAACTAACTTTGAACATTCACACGCAAAACATACGCATTTGTGCTGATGTATGTATGTATGTATCTATGTGTGCGCATGTAACTGTAGACACGTACGCACGCATCTATATATAAGGGCTATGTATATATGTGCGTTCGCACCAACAGTATATATCTATAGGTATATAAAACGGGGGGGGAGAGAGGGGCGAAGAGAGAGGGAGAGAGTGAGAGAGGCACGGGAGGGGGAATGAGAACGATAGAGGGTGAGGGATGACGTTCCATCACGCCCAGCCTGGTCAAGCGCTCCACCAATTTAGGGTCGACGCCGTCCGCCAGCAAAGCCTCGGCTGCCGAGGGGGTGAGCCCCCTACTCGGGCCGACGTCGGAACCCGAGGGGCGGGGGGCCGTTCTCCTGAGATCCGATCCTCGTGCCTATGGAGGTCGAGGGTAAGGATGAGGAACAGGGGCGGGGGGCCTTTCTCCTGAAATCTCGATCCTCGTGCCTGCGGGGGACGAGGATAAGGATAAGGACGTGGAAAGAGGAGCATCATTCCTCCCCCTATCCACGCCACTTCTCCATCCACCTTCTTCCTCTCCTCCCCCCTCCGTCCGCCCCCTTTCTTTCCTTTTGATGTTTATGAGGCGGCAAGGACGCAAGGGTGCATGCCTCGAAAAGCGAAACCAAACCGTGGCGACGAGTGAGCCCCGCGGGCGGCATAATGAACTTAACACACAGAACGAAACGCAGTTCGAGCCGAGCCCAGCGTTCCACTTGCGCGGCGCAACCCACAGTTTAGGGCCCGAGCTGGAATATTTTCTTGACGTGGCCACCTGCCTGCATCACAAACACGCCTCAACAAAACCAGGAGCACTAGTCAACACTCAAACGCGAGCACAAGCCACTTCAATATAACCATTGGGGCCAAGTGGCTTGAGTGGAGGCTGCTTGCGATCTCTTTCATGAGTCGCTGCAAGTCCTCGTCGCTGTAGGTCCAATAGAAACGAGGGTTCATGAAACTCTGGTGTTCGGCCAGGTGAACAAATGTATGGAACTTAGGTGTCATTTTCCAGGCTCTTTTCCTAGATGCAATGGCTTCCGCAGAGAGCTGGCTATATGCATTAATGAATGCGCGGGCCAGCTGCGCCAACTCGTCTTTGACTGAGACAGGGAAGAATCTGCCGTTATCATACATCAACTGATAGACGCGGGAGAGCAGATCACACGCACCAAGTCGCAACCGATCGTGGTCTGAACCCGAGTTGAAACGACGTGCCAGGGACGCCGCGTACGGCACGAGACACCGGCTGGCGGCCGCTTTTGCCTGGGGCGCTGGGATATTCTTACGCACATGTGAAGTCTACACAAATATACATCTACCAGCGCCCGCTCAAAACGTATATGTATGTATGATACATACATACGCACGCACAAACAAGCATACATATATACAACCATACATACGTACACAGTTATGTAACTATACATAGTAGAAATTTGTGTGTAACTGTAGGTATGATGACATATCCATAGCTATATGTGCACACGTGAGAGCATATGTGTGCATGTACATACAAGTGCGCACACGCACATATATTTGTATATTTGTATGCAGACACATATGTATGCAGATGGTCATACCATGAAGCAAGCATGCATATGTATCTACATATACATATTTGTAAGTACACCTGTATAACCCACATATGTATATTTATACATGAATTGCGCGTGGATTTATGCACCTCTACATGCACGTGTATGTGTATGTGCATCCATGTGTATATGCCACTCCCTCGCCCCTTGCACGCATCGCCCTTCCCCCGCTTCCCTGGGCGGGGAGCGCGATGGGCGATGGATGGGGTTGCTGGGGGAGGGTGCGGATGAGGAGGGGAAGGGATTGGAGCATGAGGAGAGGCTGGAGGAGGTATGTACTATTTCTACCACGGGGCCTTCAGCTTCGGCCACTCGGCCTGGGTGCGAAGCCTGGTGAAGATCAGCTTGCCCTGCAGCTTGTGCGCGTCCACGTGGGCCTTGCACCAGTGCGCGATGTCGGCCTGGAGCCCCTTCATCTGGGACTCCCTGCTAGCCCCCCACTGCCCAAGCTGCAGTATCTCCACGAACACGTTTGCTATGAGATGGCGCGCCACGCCGAGGTCCAGCGAGTGAAGAACGTCCACCATGATGCCTTCAAATCTGAATGACTTGATTTTGAAGAAGCTGCTGAGTCTCACATCGCCGCGCACGCATCTCAGGAGGTGGCTGTTGTGCGTGGCCATTGTGGCTCTCCAACCAGCGGCCATATCAGCGCGAGTGTAGCACATGCTGCCGTCGCCGAGGGTGGCGCCGCACAAGTAACAGCACTCTGCGTTGTTCCACCTGTTGAGATACAAGAAGCCAGCATAGTATTCCCAATCGCCTCGCATTTGAATTGCGGCGAACGTTCGCCCACTGCACAGTTTTCTACCAGCTTCGGGGTGTGGCAAGCCATTGTGTTGAACATCTGGCATCACCCCAGTGAGCAACGCGTTGAAACTCCATGCAAGTCGGTCCACCAGCTGTTCAAACATGTCTACGTCGAGCTCAGATTTCTTGAACACAGTAATGACGTCTCTCGTAGAAACCGTGCTGCCATGGCCCAGCAAACCGTTGAACTGCAGCGTGAACAGACCTTCTGATTTTGTCGTCGGGGCGCCATCCCCGTGGAAACCCAAAGGTATCGTGGTGGACGAGATGCGCGAAGCGTTGGACTTGTAGGTCACGTGGTCCCGAAGGCCATGCCAGAACTTGGCGGTCTCGCCGTCTTCGCCAGCGAGGCGCTGTGCGAACACCAGGGGCCCCTTCGCGTGCCATGCCTCCAGAGTGTCGATCGGGTCGACGAACGGGTGGAAAGTCACGTCGCCGTTGCTGCTCTTCAACTCAACCCAGCTTATCCTCGGAGCTCCAATTGGCGTGCCAATGGCACGGCATACTTCTCTGAACGCGTGCTTGGCCTGCAGGTTGGAGCGGCCAGCGTAGGCGCCGACATGCTGCGCTCCCTGAGCGGCTGCGGCCTTCGCGAACTGGATGACGTCGGGGCTGCTGAGGGTTCCCTTGGCCCATCTCCTCCGCAAGAGGTCGTTGAACGGCGTCTCTTCGATCTCGTCGTGTTCTGCGGTATCCATGCGGCGCTTGATGCCCCCGTGCACGGCCTGCGCAGCTCCGCTGGCCGCGGCGTCGCGCCGCTCGGGCGCGAGGCGGTGTCGAATTCCTCGAGGCGCCTCGGGACGGCGGGCCTCTGCCCGCTGCGGGCATGGCCGAGATTCCAATCTCTGGCGGAGGCCTGCGCCCTGTGGCGGCATGAAAACACACAAGATGAGTAGTGGCAGCTGCATCTAAACTAAAGGACGCACCAACGACGTTGGCGCCCGAGTTTGAGCCAAAACGGCTGCAGGCGGAAGGCGGAGGAGGGCAGGGCGAGGAGGGCCACGGGATCCGTCGGTGGAAGGAGGAATGCAGGAGGCCGCAGCACTTTGCTCCGCATTGGGCTCCAGGTCAACATGTATGTCCCAATCGGTGCTTTCACCGTCGGGGTCCACTTCCGCTATGAGTCTTAAAGGTTCTCTCGACATGGACATTGGCCCCCGCGGGAGATCCCTTCGGTGGAGCTCCCCATGGGGCACGCAGCGTGTGAGGGGCGTGCCGACATGTTGATGACGGTGATGCTGATGCTGATGCGGATGAGGTTGATTGTATTGCGCGTAAGATGTCGATGCTGTGGATGCTGATGATGTTGGCAATGATGTTTACATTGGTGATGGTGTCGATGTTATTTGGTTATCTGTTGTCCTGGCACACCCAACATGTTGGACATCATGCTAGCTATGATGATGGCGGCGCTGACGCCGATGACAGTGCTGATGCGGTCTTGCCGTGGCGTTCCGATGAGGTGGTAATGGTGAGGGTGTCAATGCTGATGTCGATGATGAGCATGGTGATGTCAATGGTGTTGGTGGTGATGATGTTTTCTTGTTCTTTGGCATTCTCGAGCTGTATGACATCATGCTAGCGGCTGTCGCTGCCGCCAAACTTGCGATGCCCAGCGCCAAGTGCCCAGTGAGTGCCTTCTGGCGCAGCCGACGTCCACATCTTGCCCCAATGCCACGCACGTCGGGGGGCCAGCACTCCTCCGAGCTTCCAGTGAGCCTGAACGGCCAACCTGTGCGCTCGAGCTGCCCTCCAAAAGAAACAAAAAGCCAGGCAGCCATCTCATCAGACTTGCTTCACCTTCCTCTGCTGGCCCTCCTTTGCAAAAAACTTGTTGAACCACTCGACGTTCTCGTTCAGTGCATCGAAGGCTTCGTCGATCTTCACGCTCACCGCCAAGAGTTCTGCTTTCTCTCTATCCTCCAACACGCTGTCCTCGGCCAGCTTGAAGACCTCCGTGAGCTGCTTGACGTTCAGGCCGATCTCCTTGTTGAGCTCGCCGACAAACTTCCCGCCCTTGGTCGCCAGGAACATATGCTTTGCCTGGGTCAGCGCCTTCCCGACGTTCCACACGACCTTCCTCCCCTCGGTCTGCAGGGCCTTGAAGGTTGCGCTCTCCTCGGGCTTCGCTTCAGGCTTCTCCGCGGGCTCCTCCTTCACTTTCGCCAGCGGGGCGTCAGTGCCAGAAGCCGACGAGCCCGCGCCATTGCACGACTGCATGTCCCTGAGGGTGTCCACCGCCTCCTTCTGCGTCTCCACGGTGTCGAGGCTCTCCTCGGCGTTGACCTCCTGAATGTCTAGCTCCTCGTCGCCCTCTTCGTGGCTGTCCAGGACGATGCGGTACTCCCTGCTCCATTGCCCGTCCTTGCCTGTATCCTTGTCGGGGCGATGCATCTTCTCATCCTTGTCGAACAACTCGGCCTTCTCCTTGGCCTTCTGCTCGCCGAACTCTGCGATCATCTTCGAAAGGCTCCACCACACAGTCGTGTTCTTGTTCTTCGTACTCAGGATGCTCGACTTGGCGGTCTTCGAAGTACCTCCCTTCGCGAGCTTATCCGCGAAGAAAGCCTGGAAGAACTCCCTGCGTTTGGCAACGGGCCACCCGTCGTACTTGCGCTTCTGCCCCTGCGACTCGAGAAAATACGTCATTGACGAGCGAGCCCGCTTCGCCTCGTCGGCGTCCCTCAGCAGTGCCTTCGCCTTCTCGAGCTCCTCTGGAATGACCGTCGGCACCTCGAGGGTCCGCTTCTTGGGCGCCATGTCCCAAGCAGGAGCGTTGTCGGGACCGCTGCAACAGGGCGGCGAAACTCGCCGAGGCGACCTGGTCGTGAACCCAAATGGCGACAGCGTCCAACGATGTTGCGTGGCGCTGACTTCGCCGAGCCGCCCAAGGGCCGTGTCCGAGGGACCCCATGGGGGCCCGCTTGGGGGCCCGCTCGACCGAGGCCCAAATCCCTAAACCTTAGTGTGCAAAATTGACAGAAAAAAACAGACAAAAAACAGAGTGTTTTTTTTTCCGGCTTTGTGCCGGCTACCGTCCCCTGGGCTACCTAGACAACATAGAAACAGACAAAAAACAGTCTGTTTTTTTCCGTTTTTTTTTTTTTTTTGTTTTTTTGGCGGGGCGGCTTCCCGAGGGAGGCCAGCGGCGGCTAGGGGGCCCAAGGGGGGTCCCAAAGGGAGGCGCCTTGATGGGCGGGGCCCAAGGCGGGGAGCTCAGGGTCCAACAAGGCAGGAGCCACGAAAGCCAAGTGGGGCCCCACGGGGACGGCGACGGTGACGATGGCGATGACATGACGACGGCAGCGGCGAGGGGGCCCAAGGCGGGGTTGACGGCGGGGCCCAAAGCGGGGCGCTCAGGGCCCAACAAGGCAGGAGCCCCGAAAGCCAGGTGGGGCCCCACGGGGACGGCGACGGTGACGATGGCGATGACGCTGATGGTGATGATGTCGATGACGGTGATGGTGAACGCCTAATCTGTCCCCAGGAAGCCCAAAGCAGGGTTAGGGTCTGCAGGCTTAGTAGGGCCTGTAGGGTTAGGGTCTGTAGGGTCAGAGTCTGTAGGGTTACGGTCTGTGGGTTTCGGATCCGAAGGATTAGAGTTTGTAGGGCTAGTGGGGTCTGTAAGATTAGGGTCTGTAGGCTTAGGGTGTGTAGGGTCAGAGTCTGTAGGGTTAGTAGGGCCTGTAGTTAGTAGGGCATATAGGCCAGGGTCTGTAGGGTTATGGGTATGTAGGGTGAATAGGGTCTGTATGAGGTAGTGCCTGTAGGGTTAGGGTCTGTACCAGTTTAGGCTTGTAGGGTTGGAGTTTGTAGGATTAGTATGGCCTGTAGGGTTAGTGTATGTAAGGTTAGGGTCTGTAGGGTTAGGGTTTGCATGCTAGGCTCTGTAGGGTTAGGGTCTGTATGTATAGAGTATGTAGGGTTGTAGTGTTAGTAGTGTCTGTAGGGTTAGGGCCTGTAGGCTTAATCGGGTCTGTAGAGTTGTGGTCATAGGGCCCGTAGGGCTCATAGGGCTCGTAGGGCTCGCAGGGTTCATGGGGCTCATGTGGGCTCATAGGATAGGCTCGTGGGGCTCATATGGGCTCATGGTTGCTATCGTGGGCCATCTTACCGTCTTGGGAGTCACCTTGCATAATATGTCAAATGAAGCCCCCCTGGAACGAGCAAGGGGATGATGCCTTTTGGCTGGAGTCACTGATGCTGCAATTACTGGAACAACGGTTCAGGGTCCGATTGCGGATGTTATCAAGCAACATGATGATGCCATTTCGTTGGTGCCATTTCTGTTGCAGTTATTGGAACATCAGTTCAACGCCCGATGAATGATGCTTGATGATGGTTGGTGGTGTTTTCTTGTCTCACCACGGTCGCTGCCGAATGGAACTGTCCGTGCAGTGTCGGATCCCTGCCATAACTAAACTTGTGCTATCGTGCTCAGCGCCCCGTGCCCGTGGGCGCGCCGTGAAGCTTGACTTTAGCATTCGCCTAGGACCTATGACGATGCCAACGCTATCACGGGCGCAGTCTCCTTGGCTGGGGCCGCCTGGTCAATCGGCTCCGTGTCGACCGACGGGCAGGGACTCAGCTTGTTCCAGGTATTCTGGTCGACGATCTTCTCGTGCTCCTCGCGCACCGCCTGCTTGAATGCGAGCTTGAGGTAGGTCTTCTTGAAGTTGCCCGTCGAGCCGCCATTCGCCAGCGTGAGGGCATCCATCTTGTCCACGCGCGACTTGGGCACGCGTAGATTGTACCCGACCGAGCCGATATTTGGGATCAAACCCGCGCCCGTCTCGCGGATGTCAGTCAGCACCTGATCTGAGTAGGTGTTCACGAACTCGAGAGTCGTTTTGAAATCGAGCTTCATCTTCTTGGAGATCGCCTGCACGAACTTACGCTTGTTGGTGCTGCGTCTCTTGGGCTTGCGGTCGCTCGTAGGCGCCATCCCCGCGTGAATGCACAGCGCTCGAGGTACCCGCGTGCCTCCAGCTGGACGGGGCCCAAACAGCAGCGTGATGATGATGATGATGTTGATGATGATGATGATGTTGGTGCTGATGATGATGGTGATGATGATGATGATGATGATGATGATGGTGATGAGGATGAGGATGAGGATGATGCTGATGATGATGCTGATGCTGATGATGGCGATGATGTTGGTATACGCTTGACTGATGGTGTGACATTGGTCTCTATAGTGATGCTGCTACATGGACTGATCATGTTGATGCGGTTAGTTGCAGTGATGGTTCTGACCATGGTGGCTGTGATGCTGATGAGGTTGACGATGATGGCATTGCGATGGTGATGGTAGCTATTGCGCTGGCGATTCCCGCGATGAGCGAAGGAGGACGAATGTTTTGGTTAGACGCAACTGCGCCCACGCCTACTGTTTGGGGCCCACGCTGGTTATTGCCTACTGTTTGGGGCCTACGCTGGTTATTGCCTACTGGTTGGGGCCCACGCTGGTTATTGCGTCGCACGCTTTGCGATTATCTCCTAACTAAGTCTTGGCAACCAGTGAGGGGAAACTTGATGATGATGATGCGATGATTTGGGTGCCCCTGGCTCTTGCGCACGGAACTCAGCCAGACTCATTTGACAACGGCGTTTTCTAAAGGCGAGGCGGCGCCTTCGCACCGCTCGTCATGCCTTCGGGCTTGGCTGGAAGACTTACCGCTGAGACTCTTCATGCAACTGCTGTGAGTCCTGAGCCTGCTCCGCTAACTCCTGCGACTCGGACACCGACTCTGCCTCCTGTGCGCTCGAACTGGCGGCGGCGAGAGCTTCATCAGGCTGAACGGGGTCCGACGCGGTGCGGCGCAGCTTCTTCTCGGGAGAGCGCAGCAGGTTGTCGATGACCGCCTTGAGCTCGTGGAACCGAACGGCCAGCGGTTCCAACGTGTCGCGGATGAAGTGTTCGAGCTGGAACGAATCCTCGGGGGCTGGCCCTGCCGGGACATGCATCTGGAAGAGGCTGTAGGCGCACGCCATGTCGTTTGACAGCGAGCCCACCTCCTCAAGCAAGGAAGACGTGTACTTAGTGTCCAATGTCTTGCTCTGCGCCCAAACGCCGAGGAGGTACATCATCTTCTTGCTCTCGTCATCCACCTTGACCGCGCGGAAGCTGTCCCACCTGCTGGTGTCGGCAAGTGGACCCCAACGGTCCTGTACGCCCACGGTCTCGACGCCCTCGCCGCCGTCAATCGGGAGAGCTGGAGCTTCGTGGCTTGAATCGCTCTGAACCGCAATCGGGCTGTCAACCTCTCTCTGCATCTGGGCGGAATCCTCCTGCTGCATTTGCCACTCGCGCTCGAGATCTGATGACATGGAAATGTCGTCGCGCTCTGCTCCTAAAATCTGTTTGGTCCAAAGCTGCTATGGTGGGATGACGTTGAAGATGGCGATGGCGTGGATGACGATACACATGCTGGATGCCGACGGGTGCGATGATGAGCATGACATTTGGGATTATGAAGATGATGACCATAACAATGGGTGGCGGTGGTGATGAACAGGGCGATGCTAAGGATTGCCAGGCTGAGAAGGATGGCGAGGTTGAGGAAGTGGACGAGGGGGATGAGGACGGAGCGTGAGGCTCTTGCTCGAAAGAGCTCGAAAAGGTGTCCCATGCTTCGACGCGCCAGCACAGAAGTGATTGTGCAATATAAAGCGCATTGCATGGGCCCCCAGCGTGTCGAAGCACACGCTCACAACTGTTGCCCACGCCGTGGGGCGCCTACTGATTGGCCCGCTTCGCAGGACGCTGGTACTGGGTGCGAAGCTCATCTGTCCTGGCCCTGGCCGCACCCTGAGCGGCCTGCAGGACACGGTCATGCGAGGTGCTGGTTTTCTTGAGAGTGGCGATCGTCCTGCAGTAGACCTTGCTGTGCTCACGGTTCAAGAACTTCGACCATTCTTTGGGCGACATCTTCGCAGGGTCAACCTCCTCGGGAACGGGTGCATTGACGCCTCCTGAGCTGACCTCCTCAGTTGACGGACCAGCTGCCTCCTGAGTTTCAGCAGCAGAGGCTGGCCGTTTCATGTTCATGTTAGCGCCCGCTGGCCTCTTCCGAACTGCTTTCAACTGTGACTACAACTCCTTCCAAGCGCCGCTACTTGGCGGCGTGACTGGCTTCGCCAAGAGCTTCTGCAACTCAAGGTCGGACAGCGGCGACTCGGCTGGCAACGCCGACGACGGCGTGTCGCCCGTAGTGTCACCGTCCCCCTTGATGGTGGTATCCATCTTCTCCTGGATGCCAGCCTCTGTGATGTCGTGCTTCTCATCTTTGCTGTCGTCTCTCTCCGCCTGGATGCCATTCTGCTTCACGTCGGCCAGCTGGGTCGGCTCGGTCGGCGTCGCCTTGTCGATCAGTTCGGCGATCTTCGTGTCGTGCAGCTCGGTCTGCACCGTGATCGCCGTCTCGTCGAAGAGCTTTGCCTGCGCGGTCGGCGCCTGCGAGGAGCTCTTCTTCTCTTCGGTGAGCTCCACTCCGCCCGAGTCGCCACCAGTTGTTGGCTTCGACGTCGCTGGAGTAGTTGGCGTAGTCGGTGCCGTCGCCGATTGGAGAAGCAGCACCAAGTCAGGGTCGTGGCTGGAGAAGAGCTCGTCGTGGGTCCACTCGAAGGCCTCGTCGTTGTCGCTGCTGATCTCCTCCACGCTCACGTCGCACGCTGGGGTGATCGATGTCTGCGAGCGCGTGACCATGGGCGACTTCGGGGCGACCCTGATCTTGCCCATGGGTACGCTGAAGTAT